GCTTGGGGAGCGTGGGGGGGGGGGATACCAGTGGGGGGGGGGGGTCGGTGAACCGAGAACCGGGATCATATATATATATATATATAGATATACATATATATATATATATATATATCGCCCTAAACCCTAAACCCCAAATCTATATATATACACACACACCCGAAAATCCTCTCCATGGTGAACACGGAAGCTCTCAACCCAGAAGACACAAACCCTAACGCCGAAGATCAGTCTCTGGGGTTTGAGGGTTCGGAGGCAGGTTGCTCCCCCACGGTTTAGGGTTCAGGGTTTAGGGGTTTAGGGTTGACGGTTGTTGAAGGATCAGGGCAATGTGCGCTGCAGCCCCTGCTGGAAAAAAGGGTTAACGGTTGTTTCAAGACGCCGACTTCGAACCATGAGCCTCTTAGGGTTTAGGGTTTAGTAGGCAGTTTTATTAGGGGTACCCCTTAAAGGGTACCCCTTCTGAACCCTACTTTTGGCTCTCTTAAAAGAGACCTTATTGAGAGGGTCTATATCCCCAACGGTCCCCCTAATCCTAGCTCCCATTTAGGGGTTATGGCGTAGACCCAACGCCTACAGAATTGAATTGTATGGCCTCAAACCCTTGACAAGCCTTGGAGGTGGACAGGATCCGAGGGGAGTCCAGAATCTAGGCTTCCCAGTAGTATGCATTGTTTTTGTTTTGTGTCGGGGCTCCTTTTTTTCAAGTGGAACACCACCAAGAACTCTGAGTTCTAACCCTAAAGCCCCAAAGTGCTAAACCCTCCAAGCCCAACCCTAAACCCTAAACCCTAAACGCCTACACCTCTCTCGGGGGACCACCCCTGAACCCTCAGCCCTAAACCCAAGAGGGACCGCTTTCTTTCAGGCCAGACCCTAAAAAGGGACCCTGAGTAAGAGAACTACCCCTTTAGGGTTTAGGGTTTAGGGGGCTTGTTTTTTCAAGAGAGCGGCTCACTGGGCGGAACCATCCAGGAAAGCAGGAGGCATTGCATCTGCGGAGAGGCTTTGAAGGATCCATTTCTCAGGCCTTTGAACAGGGCTTAACCCCCTAAACCCTAAACCCTAAACCCTAAACCCTAAACCAGGGGTTGGGGTTTTCCAGGGGTTTTTGGATGCTTTTGGGGTTTTGGGGGGCTTCAGGGTTTGGTGTTTAGCCTTAAACCCAAAGCCTAAACCTAAAAAGGCTTAAACCCTACACCCTAAGCCCCAAGCCCTAAACCCTAAATTTGGGATTTAGGAGTTTAGGGTTTAGTGTTAGGGGTCTGAGGGTTGAGTCCCTAAAACCCTCAATCCCTACAACCCTAAAACCCTAAAAACCTAAAACCCTAAAACCCTAAATAAAACCCAGAACCCTAAAACCCTAAAACCCTAAACCCTAAAACCCTAAAGCCCTAAACCCTAAACCCCCAAACTCCTAGAGGGTTTAGGATGCCCCCGGGTTGATGGAGACCTGGGTACCGGGTTTACCACAGCGTCCCGAGCTCTGGATCCCGAAGCTGAAACTGCAGAACCCCAGACCCTACATTTTAGGGTTTAGGGGTTTAAGGTTTTGGGGTTTAGAGTTTAGGGTTTAGGGGTTTAGGGTTTAAGGGTTTAGGGTGTAAGCCCTAAGACCCTGAACGCTGAGACCCTAAGCAGGCCACGTGCTCGCAAGCGGAGGATGCAGAGAAAATCCGCATTGCAATCGGAAGCAGAACTCATGCGGTGGACCACGCCATTCATGTGCTTCTGACAGCTGGCATGTCCACACCGACTCTCAGAGATATGGATCGGGCTGGCATCAGTATTGAAGGGGCAGGTGGCGCCGAGGTTGCACTACCTTTTCTATTTCTGGCGGTCTTCCACTTCCTTTCTCTTGTGCAGCTGGTCCTGGACATTACTTTCTTGCACTGTGTTTGGCAGTATTGGCTTTGGCCAGGCATACCTGTCGGTATCAGAAGTCTGGTAATTTTGATGATCTGGTGGAGTCCAGCTGATGAGAGGTGCTTCGCATTCAAGATGATTGCCAAAGTAGTCTCCGGATACATCCTGATAGCTTGCCCGCTGCTCGTTTACTGGGAGTGGAACCATGACGACATTACGGAGCAGGCTGCATACACCTGGTGTCTTGGAGGCATCAGAGACCATCACGTTCTTGATCTTGGCAGCCATCATTACCTTCATGTCTCATCGTGACCTCCTACTACTGTACCACCACCACCACCACCACAACCACCACCACCACCACCAGCACCGGCACCGGCACCAGCANNCACCACCACCGCCGCCACCACCAGCGTCAGGTCGCAATATTGAACCCCAAACCCTCCACCTTCACATCCTTAACCCTCAACCCTTGAGCCCTTGAAGCCCTAAAGGCGCTGAACCCTGCATGAACCATACACGGCCCAAGCATACACGGCCGAAGGTTCGCTTAGGTCTTCAGTTCCGGGGTCGCCTCGGCCTTGAATGTAGTCTTCCACCCAAACATAGACATGAAACCCGAGCACTTTGGGTTTTATCATAGTCTCAATGAATGACTACACTCAAGACCCAAGACCCCCCCCCCCCCCCCCCCC